AAAAGAGCTTAACATCGTGTCTGGTCATAGAGTAGATAATCAGAAAAAATATAGACTCCAACTCAAAAAATATATATATATAGCCACACTACAATCATGGAAATCTCTCTATAGTGCTATTATAACACTAATTCATTCTTTATAAAGAGTATGTCACTATTCCATGGCATGAATAAACCCACTTTATCTGATCACGCCCCTAATAAGGGCACTTATTTTATTTCTGGTGTTTAGCCACTGCAAACAAAGTTGCAACAAATAATCCTATACACTCAGATCTGCTGTAAGATAATATATGTGCCCTTAAAGTCACTGTAATGCAAAATGGTGCAATAAAAACCACAGAGCTTCTGGGGGGAAAAAATGGAAGTAAGGGGACAATATCCAAAAATCTCTAAAAAAAAAAACTAAAAAAGGTAGAGATCTAACAAAAACTAGTATCCGAATTTTGCATATGGAAAACTGTACAATATGTAATCCAAATGTTAAGTACATATCGAGAAATACCTAAGTACTATAATAAATATGGCACCTAACCCTAAAGAAGACCTGAAATTTGTGTGAAGAAGTGAACATCAGCAGGAATGCCATTTGTGAGTGATTGCGAAGAGGTGGAAGGAGGGTAGATGGACCCTTGTAGCACCAGATGTGGATGGATGCGGCTCATAGCACACATGGTGAACGAAGGTAACAAGATATTCCAGGTGTCTGTTTTGTGTTTTGCCAGGCAAGCTTAGTTCAGCTGGACGCAGTTTCCTGCCATTCCCTAGTATTTCTTACAGAAAAATAAATGTGCAGAAGCAAAAGCAAAATTCACACTATGCTCACAGTGTTCCCTGATATATCAATTTTACTGGAACAAATCCACATTTTAAAAGTCAAGTATTATAGCAGTATTGACTATAGATGTATCTTCATATGCCAGTGCTTTCATTCCTATGGGTTAGATTTCTAGGACAGAGTGATGGATTGAAAGACATGTGCTTTTATTTCTTTTCTTTTTTTTTAAGATAATGCCAGGTTGCATCCCAAACAACTTTAACAATTTTAAGATATTTTCTCTCTCACAATATTAGAGAAGACAATTCAGTCCCACACCCTGAATCTCCTTTTTTACAAAGTTTGAGAAAACATTTTTGAGACTGGGTAAGAGTTCCAAGAATGAACACTGATGGCTTTCTATTAGTCAAAGCAGCCAAATGGTTCATTTAAAGGACCAGGCATTTCTGGAGACAAATAGGAAAAGAAGGCACCCCTATTTATCTGCTCTTCACCTCTGACTCTGTGCAGCTCAGGAACAGAAATATACGATTCCTCAGACCACAAAGTACTTTTTAAAATGAATTTTTGCTGCACTGTAAAATTTAATAATTCTCTCTTGAGGAGGGTTGAAATTAATTTTAAAAAGAGAAGAAAAATAATGTATTTATTTATGACTTTGCCAAGTAGAGAGAACTATTTTTAATATATTGGTAAAATCTCTTTGTGTTTTGACATCAAGTACTTAGTTTTATCTTGACAATTTTCAGGTCATAATTATCATTAATGTGGTTTATATTAACACTATATTCCTGGATAATCCATCTTATGATATACAATAATTTACCTAGACATTCTTTTAATATTTAAAAATTAGGTTGTTTTCAAATGCATTCTATTTTTTTTTTTTTTTTTTGGTTGAGATGAGGTCTCACCAACTTGCCCAGGCAGGTCTTGAACCCGCGGACTCAGGCAATTCACTCACCTCGGCCTCCCAAAGTGCGGTATTACAGGCTGAGCCATCGAGCCCGGCGTGTATTCTATTATAAATACCTCTTTTATTGGTGTGTGTGCACACATATGTGTGTGTGAGTGTGTAATTTCTTCAGAATAGTTTCCAAAAAGGAGAACTTCTGGATCAACAGAAGAATATGCTTAAGGCTCCTGACATATTTCATAAAATATCCTTTCAAAAATGTTACACCAATTTACAGCTCTACAAATCCAGGCTTAACCAGATTGTATTACCTTTTGTAAACCTCTGTTATGTTGGTGTTTGAAATACTATAGCCCAGCACTTCACTGGCTGAGTTTATGTTGTAAATTAACTCTAGTTATTTGTCTGGTGTCTGGGAGTGAAGGTAAGGAGAGTTCCTGAAGGGAGTGTGTGTTGCCTTTCAAAACCTGTGTGACACCTTCGAACAGCATCTAGTGGGAGGTGGGCTACTTCTATGCGTCCAGAGGAGTCAAGAAATCTGAGGATTCAAGATTTTTGAGGACATCAATCTAAATGTCCCCATTTCAAGTCTCAAGTTCCTTTTGCTTTCTATTTTAGACCCTGGTCTTGGTATAGTAGTAGATTTGCTGAGGCTGAAAAGTCAATCTTCTCTGCAGTTCCATTACTCCTTTAATTAAGTACTAGACTTGATCCTCGACTTTTTCTTCCTTCTGTTTATAGAAGATACAATTCACGTTGTCTGCTGCCAAAGAGCTCCCTGGCCTTCATAACTCAACTTAAAGTAGTGATTCATCACCCTTAGCCTTTCCTTGTCTTTCTCCAATGCACTGCCAGCAACTAGTAAAAGCAATCTGATTCCCTCAACCTGGTAATTACTACTTCCCTAGAACCTCTCAAGTGCCTGAGATATTTCTTCTGTCAGTGCACTCCCTTCCACTGGTGTCTCACTCCAGTCCCACCACTTGTGAAAGTTCTAACAACTGTACTGATATAGCACGTCAGGGGCTATCAGTTCCCCACCTCATACCAGTGATGGACTTATCTTTGCCCTGTAGCCAGTAGAGAATCCATTTTAGAGTTGGCTTCCTCACACACTCTGCTATTTAAATTGAGTTCCCAGAAAACAGATTCTAAGGTGGAGTGAAGAATAAGAATTGAATGGAGGGAGATGTTAAACCTCAATGTGCAGTTGGAACAGGGGCTTCAGATAGTCCTTAACTCTATCCTTAAGAGGACCTGAAGCTAGAATAGCCCTTCAGAGTTTTTCAAAATTGAGGCAAGAAAGTCAGGTCTTTACATGCCCACATAGACCAATTTTTGATGTGAGCTGGCTCCAGGGAGAGGGTATAACCTTGGGTAAAGCAACTCCCTTTACTTATCTCTTGGAGCAATCTTCCAAGAGATACTCAGCTGGATATGACTGCAGCCAATACTTCTCACAGGTATGGGAATGGGAGCCTCAGACCTGAAGGGGCAATCTGGATGACACACCATAACACCCACCGCACACTTCAACACCAACAAAAAAATAGTTTGAATATTATTTAACTGAATTGTTTGAAAAGATGTTCATAAAAGTCAGTATAATGATCAGAAAGGAGAACAAATGATGTTTTCAATGGGGAAATCAATATGCTCAAGCAAATGCGTGGTTTCAATATTAAAGTTAGAAAAGATGTTCATAAAAGCCAGTATAATGAACAGGTAGGGCAACGAATTATGTTATAATATAAATGGAGAAAGTAATATCAAATATCCACTAGTAAATAAAAATAGAGAGGAATCCAACAAACTCTTTGGCCAGGGATAAGATTTCTTAACACACAAGATGTGTTCTGTCAGTTGCACGGCCTCTCCACTCCCAGATTTGTCCATGTTTATATTGGTGTACTGTCTATAAAATCTGTCTATAAAAATTTTTATCTGCCTAACTTCCATGCTGCCACTCATGCTCAGTCTTATAGTCAGGAAACAGTAATAATGGTAAGAGATCATGGTTCCCAAAACAGATATCAATTTGTGCAATTCCACCAACTACAGTTCAGTCACCTCTCTACTTTAACTAAGAAAACTAGTAAAAAGAATAGGTTGAATCATAAAGGTATCTGATCTCAAACAAAGCGAAGTTGAGACCGAAGAGAGGTTCAAACTTTCCCTGTACAATGACCATTTGTATACCTAATCCTGAATTGTACCCCACATTTTTTAAATAAATTTTAAAAAATTTAAAAGAATAGGTTGAAATTACTTGAATTCTTCTCCCTCCAATCTGAAGTTTATTCATCAGCATAAATGATTATAGAAAGTGTGAACTTCAAAATTCTGTGGTCTAGGTGATTCTCATTAGTTATCTAGATTAGTCTTCCTCATTCAATTTGTTGTATAAGTTATTCTAGCCAGAGATCCTTGATATTCACCAGTTTGCCATTCCTAAGAAAATTCTTAGTTCCATTAATGGAAGAAATGGCACTATTTCAAATAAAGAGAGCCAAGTAAGGTATTTTCTGAACTTTATTAAAGTTATAGACAAATTATCATGCCATAAAAGTATAAATATTACATACTGTAAATATAAATTTTCTACTAACCAACCCAAGGTCAACTATCAACGCTAATGAGAATTGGCAATATGGCCTAGCATGATCTTTGGATTTTAATAAACTCAAGTTCAAGTTCTGGCTCTGCGACCTAGTAGCTTTGTTTTCATAAGCAAATTACATACTTAACTTCTCTAAGCTTCAGTTGCCTGTGACAAAAAATACATATATTACTGCTACCTACTTCACAGAGCAGTAATAAGGACTATTCTGCAATAATGTAAGCAAACAGCAAGTGTCTGGCACTGAGAAATCTCTAAATAAACTATATCTATACCATTAGTGAAATGATAATTTTTACTTGAATTAATGTTTTTCCCTGTGTAACTGATCTCCTTTCACAGTGTTCTTGGGTTGTAAGAACACAGCCTAACAGAAGCAAGAGCTGATTTTTTCGTGTTTTAAATTGTGGCCCTCCAGAGGACCAGCAACCCAACTGTGCTTGTTTAATGTGGTTTGTTCTGCACCATATGCGTGTGGGCTTTTAATAAATGCTATTTGATGATGATGATGAGTTCCTGGAGACAGAGCTGTACTCAGCAGAGTCACTGCATTATGCTTGGCCTAGCTTTCTACTACTCAACTCCAGGAATGCTCTTGTGAGCAGTACAGAAACTTCTGAAATTTCCATTTGAGGTGAAGTACCACTGCCAGCAAGCCTCACGAAGGGAGTCATTAACTCTCACCTTTTTTTCTTGTGGCTCTTTCCAAACTGACCCTCAGAACGGTTTTCTCAGCGGCTGCCCCACGGTTCTCAGCAGCGTTCCACAGCAGTGCTATCTGCCGTCCTTCCTGAAAAAGAAAGGAGAGACCAGCCGCTGAGCTCAGTGGGCCAACTCTCAAAGTCCAAACAGTGGGGAACAATTTATTACAACTCTACCAAGAGGAAAAACGAAACCAACAACTCACAGCCTACAGTTCCTAATCGATACAAAATGAACTTACAACTCCAGGGACTCAAATAGGATTTAAACATCTTGAAAATGTTTGCAGTAAAAACAATGATATATTAAATAAAGCACCAAACTTGAAAACTAAGTTCAAAAGCAAAGACTTTTTCTCCCCGAAACTTACATCAAAGTGGCTAGGCAGTATGAAGTGCTTTCCATCCACTGGGGATCAGGTTTTTCAAAAGAGCCCAAGTCCTTTCTCAGCTGACTTTGCAATCCAAGATGGGCCTTTGGATGAGTTTTGTTTTAGCACTCTCTCCCCACTGCTATAAAACAATGCCATTGTCAATTGTCTTTGAATTAAAAGAATCTTTTGTTTCAGACGTGTCCCTCCATTTTTAGAAGATAAAATATTTCTTTTTGAATGAAATATTAACTTTCTTACCAACAAAACTTCCACCCTCCATTGGAAAGGGTCTAGAGACCCCTGTCCAATCTTTCCAAGGGGGATATTTTAAATGTACAATTGAGAATCTGCTGCAAATGAACAATGCTTTATTTCAGACAACCTGGGTTCTCCAAACCCAGAGATAGCTGTGATACTTTGCCAGGTCAAAAGAGAGCCTCTTGTTTAACAGCATTGACCTGGATTTTCAGCAGCGTTATGAGCTTTGCAGACTGTCTGCCTGCCTATGCAGGCTGAGACCTGGTTTTCCAAGGTTCATTGAGACGATTGCTTGAAATAGCAGGGAATACTGAATAGAGATTCAAGAGAACAGAATGATATCAAATCACATCTGGGGGCAGTAGAGGCACAGGGAGAGGTCTGGGACAATTATACATATACTTGGAAAACAACCACCGCAAGACTATGAGTTTAATATTGCAAAAGTCACAAATATGAGAAATTTTGCCTTGTAGCACTTAAGTTTATGTGTTTACAGTTGCACTCTAAGCCATTCTTTGCTCTTTGATCCATTTAATCAGATTTTACAGCCAGTTGATCAATCATTTCACCAAGTTTTTTTTATTTATCCACAGAGACCTAACGACAATATTCCAAAGAATTTTTTTTTTTTTTTTTTTTTTTTAGCACTGTGGACAAATCTGTTGTTACTGGCAATGTGTGTAGGAGCTAGTCCTGGTGACCTCTCTGTGAACTCACCAGAAGTCAAATTTTGCAATTTCTTATTCAGTATAACACTGGGCTTTGACCTTGAGGACTTTGTTGTGGTGGCCTTCCTGAGGAAATCAAAGAGACTGGTCATTTCCCAAGTCCCCAGAAGCAGTTCTGTTGTGAGAATCTCTCAGTGGCCTTTGAGTAAGAATCTTTCTACTTAATGATTCAAGTACACATTTTAATTGGTATATAGAGCTTGTAATCTAAATCACAAATCTTTCAAGAAGTGGCAGAAAGACACAAGGAAGTGGATAAAAAGGAAACGTTCTGAGAAAAGAGTAGGTAAGATAATATAAAAAGTAGTAGGAAAGAATGTGTTTGAGCTATGTGGCCATATCAGTCCAGTCTTTCTCATTTATTTGTCAGTTCTTTTCCATTGTTCTTGCTGGCTCTTCTCAATTAGAAAGCAAATACTTTCTCTGCCAATTACAATTGAATTTTTACATCTCAGCTGAGAACATTCTGTAGGATAGACTTGATTCCAGTTTACTTGGATGCCCTTCCTGTTGAACTTATTTCCCTTGTGTCTCAGTGCTAGGCCTTCCCTAGAAGTCAGGTTCCCCTATTCTGCACCTCACTCCAATGCTGACATAACTTTTATCACCAGCAGTTCTTCTTGTCAAAGGCAATTATGGTGCTATCAAATGTCCAGAGCCCAAGAGATCTTCTTCATGATACACTTCAGTGAGATGCTCAATCTGTAGGTTCATTCACTCATATCCTTCTCTGCTTGTTTGTCCAGCCAATAGGACCACTTCTCTTTCTCAGAACCACATGGCTTGGTGAGGGCCAGGATCAGTCAGCAAGTATCTTTGAATGAGTACCCAAAAGTGTGTGTACGAAACAAAATATAAACCATGAACAGAGCTGAAAAGGACCCTCAAGTTTTAGTCTAAAATTTCCATGTCTCTGGCAATCAAATTGAGATCCAGAGAGATGAAATTTTTTTTCAAGTCATTCTACAATATTTTAGTCAGACTAGAACAATAAAATGGGTGTTATCACAACTCCCGGATTTTTACATGTTCATAAGTCTTTTGATTTCATTGCAATGAAAACTTAAATTCTATAACATTATAACACAAGACATTTCCACAGACACTTATATGATCTCCTCTAGTTAGAAAAGTCTTCCCAGTCTGAAAATGTTCATTGATGCCTCACTTTCCTCAGGTTTTCCACAAAACAAATTCTAAAGAGAAAGTTAATGAATTAACTCTGTTTTTTTCATTGTTCAAATTCTCACTTACCTCATAAGTCATGGAAAATCTTCTCTATCAATAGAACTGCAAGAGTTATAAAGTAACACACAAATCAGCAGCGGCCTCAGAACTGCATCTGTCAGGAAGTCTGTGAGAAGAACCACCTATAAAAATTGAAATATGGCTGCCCATCGAAAGAGGACTGGATTAAAAAAAAATGTGGTATATATACACAATGTACTAATACACAGCCATAAAGAAGGAAAAAACTATGAACTTCACAGAAACTTGGATTGATTTAGAGGCTATAATACTGAGTGATCTATCACAGAAACAAAGAACTGAATATCACATGTTCTCATTCATAAGTGGACCTTGAACAACTATCGTAATACTATAAGAAAGGGATTGGCAGTAGTAGGAAACTGCCCAGGGCGGGGGGGTAGGATTGGCAGCAGTGGGAATCTGCCAAGGTAGGGGGGCACACCTCATCAACAAGGGTACCTGTATAATGAACATTTGTATACCTAACCCTGAATTGTACCCCACGTATTTAAAATAAAAAATTTATTCTAAAAAGATAATTTTTAAAAATTGAAATATGGTAACTCTTATTCTGACCCAGTAATAATTCTGGTAATTAGGCTTAGTGAGGCATGTAGTTTTGTCCAAATCTTTTATACAAGCTAATTCATTCACTAATAAACATATGTCTATCAAGTGTGGTTCGGAATCCCTCCAAAGTCTGTTTGTGTGGGTGTGTGTACACACATTTCATCTATATGACTTGTGCTTAAAGAGAATTTGTGGAGTAACTGCAATGTGCCAAATAGAGGGACCTAGAGAAGAAACAAGAGGCATGGTCACTGTATTAGAAACCATCAAGCTGAGCCTTCAGACTTTCCTTCATCCAGTTGTTCCATCTTTTGACTTGGAGTAAATCTCAGGAACTGGGAAGGAGACAGATGAAGAATAACTCCTACTTAAGATTTCTTCTTTCAATATTTGTTCAATGTTGAGGTTCTTTCTTACTTCTGGTATGTAGTGCCACGTTTTAAGTTTTTTTGAGTCAGATCTTTAACCTCTTGTTGTATAGACTCTTGGTTTGAACTACTAGTGCTGTATTGTCTGATCTTACCTGGAATCTTGAGTCCTTAAAGGTTTCTCAGTTTCTTGGCCTGAGTCCCCTGTTCCTACAGCCCCCATTTCTTTTGGGGGTTAGCCCGACACCTACTTGCTTCCCCCTTGCTCTTTCTGAACTTGACCTTTGTTGCTTTCCATATGGTCATTTTCAGCGCCTTTCTAAATTTCCAATCAAATCTTCTTTTTCTGATGCTTGAGAAAAAGGTTCATCTTGACAAACAGAAAACAAATGAGTGGAGTCCTAAACAATAACAGGATGTGGATAAAACCCTCTGGGATACTCCCATGATCAAAATCCATTCATTAAGATTTAGAACAGCTCTTAAATTACCAAAGCCTACTCATCTCTGCCTTTCAAACAATTCTAACTTTTAAAAAAAGTTCAAATCTTTGTCACAAAAATTAAAAGCCTTTAAAACAAACTTACATAAGAAATATTATCTAAAGATAAGAAATATTATCTTCTATATGTATGTCCTGGGGTCAGTACAGACAATGATCTCTTGCATCCTATTCAATTTCAGAATTTCACAGGAATGATCCTAGACCAAGGATAGTCATGTATTTACTGATTATAGTTTAAAATAGCCCCATAGTCTCATAGAGACTAAAGTAGGAGCAGACATTAATATATGTTAGAATAATTTTCAATACTAGAAGTCTACAGCAAAAACTGATTAACTAGACAACACTAACTTCTAACATTCTGATTAACTGAGATTTTATAATACTGAATACAATAGAAATCCATTATATCCTTTCGATATCTAGGAACTAAGCTTCGGTTCCCTAAAATGTGCCTGCACTGAGATGACATCACTAATTCTACATTCACCAGTAACTATACTTAATCAATTAATTTCAAGTCTTTAAGCTTCAGCTCTCTTATATATAAAATAAGGGCAGTGAGTATTCAACTAAGGGACTTTTAAAGTCCCTCCCAACTGTGAAAAGCAATTTGATTATGTGGATTCTATAACACTGTTTGAGTGCCACCCAAATATTAATCCTGTCCTATGGTAATAAGAGAAAAAAAATAAGCACAAAATAAAGTTTTATATGACCTCTCCAGTATGCTCAAAGCCTGTAATTCTCATTGACTCTAAAAGCAGTTCTGCAGATGTGGGAAGAAGAACATAAATAGTGAGCTTCTCTGCAAAGTGAAACTGAACGACTGTTTACCAGCCAGCTGTACCAAGCAAGCATGACTTCACTTGAGCTGTGAGTTGGTACCTGGTACTCAGACAGTCTGTGCAACAATCCCTGATCCAATTTTATTTGCAACAATGCATAATGGAAACCCAAGGAAGAGATAAAGCCAGAGATACCACCACTAATTTGCAAGTCATTGATGGCTATAGGAAATTTCTCAAAACAGAAATATGTGTTAGCTGTTCTATTGGGTTTTATTGGATTGTTTTGTTTTAAACCAATACCGACTTGAGCATCTATAATGTACCAGAACAGTAAAAAACACTGTGAGGATCAAAGGATAAATAAGACATAGCTCTTCACTTCAACTCTGTAGGGGAGATAAGACACACAAATAGACATAGCACAATGCAGTATGGAGTGGCCCACAAACAACAGAAACAACATGCTTTTTAAGAACTCCACATAGACTTTTTTTGGCTAGTTACCTGGTCAAGTCACTGTGACATATATCAGGTAGACAATAATATAGCATGTAGACACACACATACTTGTTGCAAGCCAAAAAATATGAGCATGGCAATTAAACATTTTAAG